TGTCCAAGGCATCTGATCGTTATCATAAAAAAACAAAGTAAAAGAGACCACGGCAGGTTTTCTTAAACACCAGCTTGAGAACGAGCACTTTTTTCTTTGCTTATATTCAGGGTTCATTACCAGAGGACCAACATCAAACTGAACGGATGCTCACTTGCAATCTGACCTCAAAGGAAAAACTTACTCCGCGTGGCTCGTTTTGTTTGTCACAGGAAGTCATGTTGTCATTTCGCGGTGACAACCCAGACACGTCATATTCTAAAACCAAGGCCGCGTGGCTTAGGGGGCTAATTTTTTAGACGAGTATCCCAAACATTCACAAGTAGCACCGACCTATCCTGTGGACCCTCAGCTCTCACAGGTTTCCCTGGTTTCAACTCTGCGTAGGCGATGGGGGACTCCCGAGCCGCTATAACCGGGCTCTGCTGTGGGCGGGCAGGAAGTCTGTGCACAGAGGCTGGGGGGTGCAGGGGGGTGCGCCTTCTTCTAACGAATGAGCACCTGCAGCAAGTGGCTTCCTTCTTTTTTTTTTTTTAAATATTTTTTATTGATTTCAGAGAGGAAGGGTGAAGAAGAGAGAGAAACATCAGTGATGAGAGAGAATCTTTGATCGGCTGCCTCCTGCACGGCCCCTACTGGGGATGGAGACCATAACTCCAGCGTGCGCCCTGACCGGGAATTAAACCGTGACCTCCTGGTTCACAGGTCGAAGCTCAACCACTGAGCCACCGGGCTGGGCTGTCTGTGACTTTTAACGTGCAGGGTTGGCAAACCAATGCTGTAAATATTTTAGGTTTTGTGGGCTAAACAGTCTCTGTCACAACTACTCATTTCGCTTAGTTCTCGAAAGCTGCCGCCGCCGACGTGTAAACGCGGTGGACCAGCTGTGCACCAATCCAACTTTATTTACAGAAACAGGCAGCGGGTCGGGTTTGGCCCCCAGGCCACACCCTTTGCTGACCTGTCCCCTGGAAGCAGTGGACAGTATGGATGACGGTGGGGACAAGCAGACAGATGTCAGAAGTGAAGACGACTAGGCCTCCACACCAACACCCCTGAACAGCTATGCCGAGGTCTCGTGTCAGGCCCTTGAGACCACAAACGAAGCCGACCCTGCTTCTCTGAGAATGGAAGTTTCCCCTTCAGTGGGAGTCTGACATCAAGTGTGAACTGTGAAGTGGGTTTTACAAGGAGAACCATGCAAACCTCCAGCAGACAGGGACACCCACCTTCTCTCCCCATAGTTTACAAGACCACCTTCCTAGCACCTTGCACTGAGCCCCTCTTCGTCTATAAAAGGCCACGCCACTCTCTGGTGAGTCCACGCGAGGCACCCTGGGAGAGATGCTGAGCTACCGTGTCACCCTCTCCTCTGTGGCTGCTGCGGCCTGGACGTCCCAACAACATCCATCTAACCTGGGGGACAATCCGGGCGTTAAGAGCCAGCTCCCTGCCAGGATGCGAAATCAATGGACATAACACATTCCCACCCCCCTCCCCCCCAACGCGGGGGAACTAATTTCTTAACAGACCATTTCATGACCAGCAGAGGCTGAGCCACCAAAGAAAAGCACTTGGAGGCCGCTGGGACATCTGTTCTGAGCTGTCACCGCCAAACTCCGCGCTCGAGGGAGGAGGGCCTTGTCTTTCAGCAGCGCTGAGGGTTTCAGAAACCGCCTCCACGGACAGCCGTCCCAGCTGCAGGCCCTGGGCCCCGGGAGCAAACGCAACACCACCAACAGGCCCCGCTAGTCCAGTTTAGATACAGCCAAGGTGGTATTTACAAAGCAAAGATCGGCACCCTCCTGCACTGCTTTCGTGCTGTGTTTCCGAAACTGGACTGCAGAACTCATCCGGGGACAAGAAATAACCGTCATCCAGAAAACATCCCTGTGTGTGCGTCGCTCGGAATCACCACAGGAATTTCCCTCAACGTGGATGCGCTCGACGTGAAGCGAAGGCCCAGTCCTGCTGGGCATCCGGTTCTCAGCTCCTGTCCGAGGCTGGCGGGCTTCCCTGCAGCACACGCTATTTTGCTTAGAAATAAAAGGTCACTTGTCAGGAGTGAGGCATGGAAACTAGTTTTGCTAAATGCAGAGGAAGAGCAATGACGCCAAGGCACGGAGGCAGGACAGGGAGAGTCGGAGGAGGTCAAGTTCGGGTCCGGCAAGTTCAGGCCACTGGCTGAGAGGTTCCAGCCCCTGGCTCGTGGGAGGTAAGTTCCGGGCTGCGGCGAAGATGGGCTCTGTGACTTGTGCTTCGCTGGTTCCCATCCTCACTGGGATGAGCACAGTCTGAGGCCCACCTTCCCTTACAGCCACGGTTGTACTGCTCCCCGTCCCGTCGCACAGTGTCCACCTGTGTGTAAATAAAAAAAAGCAAATGCTGCCCTAGTTGGCTTGGCTCAGTGGATAGAGCATCAGCCTGTGGACTGAAGGGTCCCAGGTTCGATTCTGGCCAAGGGCACATGCCCGGGTTGTGGGCTCAATCCCGAGTAGGGGGCGTGCAGGAGGCAGCTGGTCGATGTTTCTCTCTCATCACTGATGTTTCTATCTCTCTCTCCTTCTCCCTCCCTCTCTGAAATCAATAAAGAAATATATTTTTAAAAAAGCAAATGAGAGCCAAGGCCTTTAGGATCCATCTCTGGGCCCACGACTCAAGTGGATGCCACTGTTCCACCGGCGTTTCCCTCCTTGTCGGGAGCGGGGAAGACACCGTGTGAACCAGCACGAATGAAGAAACAGAAGACGAAGTAGCAGCACTAGAAACGGCACCAGAACAGCACAGCAAGCGGAGCGTGGCCAACCCGGTGACGAAGAAGGAACGCCGGGAAGCTGGAAAGCCATGACCAGGTCTGTGTTATTTAGTGGGATGCTCCCGGCCTGCCTACAAAGTAGGTGCTTATCAAACAGTGAACAGTGAATTCTTCTCACTTCTCTGTTCTTGGGACTCTCAGAGACAGGACAGCACCATTAACTGAGATGGTTCCGGGTCCACTGTGTAAATGAGATGCAATCTGGTTCGAAGAATGGAACCTTAAGACCACTGGGCCAGTTCCAAATGGGAAGAAATGAACACTTCTCAAAAGTCATGGGAAACACAAAGCCGTTGAGCTTTGTCAGAAAGAAAACAAACCTGAACAGGCACCTGCACACACCCTCCAGGTTTACCTTGACCCATACTCGTGTATGTCTATCTTTCTGTGTGCGCGCAGGCTGCAGTGTCCGCTGGATCGGACTGCCAGCTAAGAGGTAAGCATCTTGTTATCGTAAAGGCACCGACCAGCCACTGCCTTTGGAACGGCCTGTGCACACGCCGCTTCCACCACCAATGGATGAAGGCCCGTCCGCGCTGGGGAGCCACTGGGCTGCCCTGCCCTTACTGGAGTCAGGGAAGAGATTTCAAGAGGACTTGGGATGTGCCACTGCCAAGCATGTCCGGTCCCAGAGGGTTCAGAGTGGAAAAGAAGTCTCCCTCCAGTCTCCCCGCAAGCTCTCCTCACATCACAGCGGTAGCCCCCTGCTCCCTGCTCCCTGCTCCCTGCTCCCTGCGTGCAGACAGGGTCTTGGATACCATCTACCTGCACACATAATGCCGCTCCTTTAACAGCATGCGGTCGCCTTCTGCGTAGTTCCTTGATTGTTCCATAAAAATTTGCTTCGTTTTTAAAGAGCTGCACGTACTCCCCACTGTGCAAACACTACACCGAATGTGACCAGCGCTCTGTGCACGGGCATCCAGGTCGGGTCCAGTCCTTGGCAGCCACAGTGATGCTGAAGTGAACATGCTGAGTGGTACCGAAGGGTTTGTGTACCCAGTGCAGGTACATTGGTGGGCAAGGCTCCATGTGGAATGGCTGGGCCAAAGGGTAAGTGCTTTTTTATTTGCCATAGCTATTGCCAAACTGATTTTTCTAGACGTTCTGCCCACTCATATTCCCATTACCAATGTGTTTCCTCATACCTTTCCTAACGCTTTAAAAAAAAAAATGTCACTGCCAATCCGCTGGGTGAAAAACAGTATCTCATTGGGGTTTTAATGGCATTTTTATTAAAACGGTAGATCTGATTTTTAAAAAATGAAGCAATTTTACATTCTGTGAATTTTCTGTTCATTTTCTTATTACCAACTTTTGAAATTTCTACTCATCTTAAGCATAATTTAAAAATTAAAAACACAAACTTGAAATATTACAACATAGTGTTTCCCATTTTAAAATCTGACTCCCTACATCCCTTGTCATCAGTTCCTAAAATTATGATTTGGTGGGGAGGAGGGCGAGTGGAAGTGGAATTGGGAGAAAAGAGAGAGAAAGAACAGAACTCAGCACAGAGCCTCAAAGCCTATAACCACAGAGAATCAGAATTTAAGCCAAAGAACAGAAAGAAATCATCAACCAAAATGTGATGAATTTCATAATAATCATCTGTGGCATTTCTATTTATTTCTCCATCGGAGGTTATATGGAACAAGTGTCAGAATCTCAGTTCTGAAATTCTATCTTTGAACTTAACCAGACTAAACTGGATTCAAAATTAAATCATTCTGGGACACATATTCTAACCAGCCAAGCTACTTCACACCATGCAAATGGTTTCCTTATTTTTTGAAATCGGGAAAAGGGAATTTTTCTTCACATCTAATTGGTTAGCCGCTTCTTCAGAATGATCAGAAAATTTCTGAGGCACAATGATCATAAATGCGATGGAGCCTAAGAAAGGTTGCAGCTGTGAACACGGTCGCTAACATGTTGCGGTGGGAATCCTGGGGCCGTCTGCACCTTTCTCCCCCGGATTCATTTCCCCCTAAGTCTTGCCCGTTCTTCCCTTGAAACCTTTTGGCCCTCAGCACTCACTGCGACTGTCCTGGTTTCGAGCCTCATCACTTCTTC